CCCCCCATTTTTGATAAGGTAAACCCAACCCCCGAAATCCTCCTGCCAGGAGTCAATGTGGCCTTTTCCACTTAGCACCCTTGATAACTCGAAAATCCAAACTCTAGGTCAGAAGTGGAGGCTATTTCCATTGGAGCAACGGGCAACCACACTTGTCGAAAGGCTTTCCTCCCGTTTATGATAACTCAAAATACAAAAAGCAATCACGGTTAAAAGAAAAAGAAACAGCACGTTGACAGAGCATAGAAACAGCTGAAAAATGATTAAAGGGATTAGATCCTCCCCGCCACTAGTTCTCCCATGGCTTACCTCAATTCAACAGCTCCAAAATAGTAAGAGAACTTTTCTATGTTAATAATATCCTCAAAGGAGCATGTGGTGCCAGCAGCTTGGTCGATAGCAGCAGCTAGTTCTCCTTTTAAAGCAGTCAGCCTCAACTCGATCGCCCTCAGCAATTCATTCCTGTATACCATTAGATTATTTGGAGATGATAGATTAATTTCTGAATTTAGAAATTGTAAGATGCATAGGGACATACTTGGAAGCATCTGATGAAGAAGAGTTATCATCTGCCTGGTGTGGTATCAAAGATCATGTTATCTTTAAACATGTACATGCAATAACTTGCGGAAAAGACAAGAACTAAAAAATAATCCAGGAATATTTACTTGCTGCAATGATGACACTGCACCACTTGAGTAATCGCATTCTGCTAAAAGTAAGAAAAACCATATTAGTTGCTATTTTCTTTCTTTCTTTTTTTTCAGATTGAGGATTCTACAAAGGCAGAGAATAGTAAGACTAACCTGCTTCGTCGCTCCCAGTATGATCCTGAGGACCCTAAAAGAATAACAAGCTCAGTATTCTGCTTGTTACAGTTTCTATAGATTAATTGAAGGGTCAGAATAATTATAAAGAACAAGAAAAGCACCATTGAATACAAAGAAACATGAAACTTCCGAGCTTCTTCAAGCTGAGATATTTCATTTACCATGGCCTTGGCCATATCGATTGTAGGTGATGAGCTGATAATACGAAGAAACCTGGAAATACAGGGATTGGAATATGGAAATACGGAAGCTTAGAAAAATCTTTCAAAAACAGTTTGAAGTAAATGACAACTGAGTGACTGATCAAAAAAAGTAAATGATGATTGAGTGAACCTGATCAATGTGGATTTTGTAAACCATTTAGCGTCATTAAGATTCCCTAGGGGTCTAAATCTGAAATTGGTATCTGATCCCTTTGAGTGCAAAGATTTGATTTTGGGAGAATGAAGCACCAATTGCTCCAGAAGACCGGAGGTTAGTGTTTCTAACTTGTTGCCATAGCAGATATGCGACTCGTACCTGCGCCCAAAATATAGTAAAAAAAAGGAAGAATTAGTATCACGAGAACCGTGATCCACAGAAGAATTCATGGCAAGTGCACCAACTGTTGGGATTTAAATAACCAAAGAAAACCTCAACTGGTCTATTCTCTTGCTACACTGGGAAAAACTAAATTTCCGGTCTCCCCATTTTCAGAAAGGGAGAAACAAAAAGTTAATGAGTCCTCATGCGGCGATCAACACAAATATTGTTCACTTAATGAAAATTATGAAATTGACTGCACCTAGAATATAGCCAGTTGAATTAAAAACAAAAGGACTTACCTGTTCTGGCTTGGGAAAATCTGAAATTCAACATAGTCCATCAAGACATCAGCATCTATTCCATCCTCCATTTTTCGTCTCCTAAAAGCCTAAGCCTGGTCAAAGGAAGCTAGCCAATTAGCTCAATGTAAGATTGTCAAGATTACTCTCAACCCTTTTAGGTAACTGAGACGTGCATTGACTTCAACAAAGAACTCATTTTGATCAAAGAAGACTGAAACAAACACAAAATTACACCAAATATAGAAGTGAAGTAACTATTAAATCAAATACATCACTTGGGAACACATTATAGCATAAGGGAACCAAAATCAAGCAAGCTGACCTTAAAAACAGAACCAACCAAACATTGCCAAAATTAAAATTTTACCTGACCCAACAACTTGAGTATAACTAAATCTCAACTGTCTATAGGTCAGTAAGCTGGAACAAGACTAAAACAATGAAGAACTGACATAACTGCATTCAAAATCAGATCTAACCTTCAAACAGAATTTTGTCTTTTAATTCAATCTAATAGTCACTGATTCAAGAACTCAATGTGCAGCAAAAAGAATGTTCAAAATATATACTTGGGTTTCAGCAAAGTGTAAAATGCAGGTTGAAAAAGAGGAGACTTACAGGAAATGGAGCACAGCCCTCAAAGTTGGAGAAAAGAAAAAGAGCTTGTTGGTGAAGATCTCAAATGGGGTTGGTCCAAATCAAGAACATAACAAAGTTACAGTCTTTTCCCTTTAATAAAAGTTGTGGTCACAGCCCCAGCTGGAGTAAAGAAGACAACTTTGAGTGCAAGGAAGAAGATGAATAAAAAGGGGGTAAATACTTAGAGACTCTGTGTGACTGTGTGTTGGGTTTGAGAAAGAAGCAAATGTTTGTTCAGTTTGAAGGGNATTGCGTTTGAGAAAAGCTTATTACTACTACTGCAAACATCGATTGTCTTTATTATTGCACCGAACGCTTGTGGCGCGTGATGTCACGTTTCAGTCCTCTTTCCTTTTTCTTTTTTTCATCTATGAATTCAAACTTAGTTTGGTTATTATTAAATTTTATTCAAGTGGTCCTCTGCTCTTGTACCAATTTAAATTTTTTCTTTTTCAGTGAATTTTCATATGCTATTCTTGTTTTCTTTATTCTTCTTCTTCTTCTTTTTGTAATTCTTTTTTTTTTTAAAATATCTGTTGAAAAGGAGATAAGCAGACGCCTAAGTGCATATACTTCCTTTCTACATTCTTATTTGTAAGGGATTAGTATTAATTTTTTTAGGTAATTTGAGAAATGGGAATAAAGATTCCATATGGGGTACGTCAGTGATTTTTATTGAATATATCAAAGTCAGGAGATGAAGTGCATATACTGCCTACAGCGAAATGAAATGATTATACAATAACGTTTGAACTGGAAATTTGCCGAGGAAAAGTCCTCTTTTTGTTTTGCAAATAAAGTCAAACTAACCGACGAATTCTGTTTAGGACAGTATTCATGTTCCACGCAGCAAATGCTACTGTTTTGAAATCTAAACCGTAGCCTCATATTTTCATATATAATTTTCTAACCGATGTTCAGTACTCGTATTAGTACCAATTAAAGGGGAAAACGGTTTCTACTATAAAAAAAATTCATCTCAAAGAACTCGAATCCAAACTTCTGATTAAAGATGACGAATCGTTCGATCCTACCACAATTCTAAATGGTATGACTGTCTATTCTTTAAGCATAGTCATGTCAAACTATTCAAAATTCAACAAAGGACTTCAATGCGATAGAGATTAAAGGGAGCTATAGAGAGACAGGTGCATGGGAATGGCGGGCCTATAGCTTGACTTAGAAGAAAGAATAACAAACCCACACCACAAGGCAAATACACAGCCACCACTACTACTTTTGTGAGCCTAGAAATTTTAGCAAATCTTGAATCAACGGTGATTCGTAAAAATAAAGATGCCTAACTTCCCATTTGCGAATCCACCATCCATGTGGTTTATGGTGACAAATTTCAGACCCCAGACAACAGATTCGATCCCCCTACAAAAAATAACAATAAATCATGTGCTGTCCCACAGCACCCCACTATATCTCCTCCCTTCTTGTCTCTATTCATTCGGATTACCCAATTTGTTGCCTTATTTAAAATTTGATGTACCTTCCTTTTATGCATCCCCTCCTATTAATTCAATTCGAAATTTTGTCTTAGTAAATGTTGGTTCCCAAGATGACGACTCCACCTCACAGTCACAGACATCCATTCCCTTTGCATTTTGCCCGCTCTATCCATCTAATATCGTCTTCCTAATTTGTGGTACGTAGTGATCTCCGTTTCTCCATGATTAGGGTCATGCACTTCGCGTGTTTGCTGATTGGTACGCATATGATTGTTGATTGTGAGAATTCGAAACTAGACTGCTCGTAAATCACGTGTTTAACTTGTTAAAACTGTAGAGATAAAAAAAACAGGCAGCAAGGTTAACAGATTTTACCCATACCAACCCGAGCCGAAACGATATAGACATTTGGCAGAATGGATGAAAAAGAAATTACAGCCATGGCCCGAGCGAATGATAATGAGGTGCTAATATTAACGTCACAAGGTGGTGAAGAACATAGTCACCTGGAGGGACAACATGTGGTCTAGGCAATGGTGGGTGCCTCAAGTAGTTTTTTTTCACGTTGTACAACGGAAAAAAGAAAACCTTTTTTCTTCTTTTTGTTTTTTAGAAGAAAAAAGAAATACCTTGACCATGCCGTTTCTGGGTACAGATTTACTAAAATGAAGTACCTTACTAAATGTTGGTTGCCTTGGGGTTGACATTAAGTAATTATAAATCTTGATTGCTCAACCAAAATAGCAGCAGCAACCAAAGTTTTTTAAGCACAACTTATGAACTCATTGTCCACAGTTGTCAACTTGGCTCATAAAGAGAAGTGAAATAATCATTCACTCAAGGAAGCCATAAGCAACGGCAGTTAAACATTGCAATATGCTCTCAACCATTTAAAGCATCAGCATGGCTGAATCAAATGAGACTTCTTACTGGTTAACTCGCTCTGCCTACGAATCAGTAGACAGCCCTAAATTAAAAAAGTACTAGTAGTTCGCTACAAATCATCTGCAGAATCTCTCATCTAAAAAGGGCAATCACCCAAGCACATCAACAGACAATACAGTCCAAAGAAAATAGATGACACAACTCAAACATTCCTCCACGGGGAGTAACAAGACTAACAAACACCACCCTAATGATACAAATGTTACCTGACACATTCCTCCCATCAGGAACAATCTTAGACCTACCAAGGAGAATTAGTCAACCTTCAGTTAGACCATACATGGACTAGTCCAAGCCTGTTTCCGGTATAAATCTCATTGCGCTCTTCGTCATAGAAAAGGGCAGTAATATCTTCTAGGGCTTCTGCAACCGTGCTCCTAATTCTGGAAGCTTGGACCCGCTTTTGTGAGTTGCAGCATCTACCACCGGGCCCACTGCAACTGGCACTACAATCATCAGCAGTGAGGCCATTGGTTGCTTTGATTTTAGCAAGGCATTTTCCGGTCAGAATATTGCTGACATTAATAGATCCCGCTGCCAAACCAGAATACCCATGCTCAGAAATTCATAAAAGTCATATGAAACGGAAAAAAATAAATAAATAATAAATCCCACTAGTCCAGCCATCCAGGTTATATATGTGCTACCTAGCTCTATGCTTACTAATGTGTGTGAGGCACTCTGTAATACAGGAATACATATGTGGCAGATTGATCAAATTTATCATGATATGCAGCCATCCAAACACTTATCGACTCCTTGCCATTTTAATTCGCCTACTTTATGAACAGTGGGTCCCAAAATTTTGACCTCTTCTGTTAAAATGGCTATTTTTTTTTTCATCCAACAATCACAACTTATATAAACTAATACTATAATAAGTTATTTCAAATAATGTGTTTCCAAACAACCTCTTTATCTTTTCACATTTCAGACAATTATTTAGACTCTTCTATACCAAACAATAACAATTTGTCAATTCCAAGCTAGTTCGAGTCAGCCATATGAATCCTCACAAATCATATCAATCAAGTTAGACCCGTACCAATCCAATATTTGAAGATGATAACAACAAATAAAACCGACTTAAATAAGAACAATAATAATGTAAATGATAATGATGATGATGATGATAACAAGAAAAAACAACAGTAGCAGCAGCAATGATAATGATAAGTCAATATCCATTTTTCAGAGTTTACTCTTAAACAGCATGAAAGTCAAGCCAGGTCACTTAAAATGGAATTAAAGAAGTATTGTTGTTTTCAGTCATCAAGTAAGACTTGAGAAATTCCTGCAATCTAACATACCATTTCCTTCAGATAAGGGATCATCAGAATCAGCTTTGCAGTATGAAATAATAAGGTCCTGATCACTAGTTATGTAAATGTTGTTAGTGTTGCAATCAGGATGCCATAAAAGGTGATCCTCAAATGAAGTAACAAGCTCCCCGCGGAAGTTCCAAACAGCTACTGTTCTGTTTCTGAATGTCAAGAACAACTGGTTCTCATAAAGAAATATGAATGCTGAGGGGGTCATGAACTCAGTCCTGCTAACTTCTGTCAACTCAGAATTGCGTACCTACATCCAGTAGACATTAGAAATGATGACGAAGGAAGACAGGTGTGTTGTTGAACATAGGTAGCTACTCACATCCAGAATCTGAAGATTCTCGTTCTCTTGCTTGACAAGAAGCTTTTCATTAAACTGTTCAATGAAATCCACCTTCTTATTTCGATGAAGAAGATGGTTGAAAGATTTAAGAACAGTACCGTCCTCAATGGACAGAATCTTCAGAGGTACGTGGCCACTAGCTTTGGTAAATATCAACAACATGATTCCTGGACTGCTTAAAAGAAAAGAGGGGAAAGAATTAAAAAAAAATATAGGACAGAAATCCAGGTCTTCCAAGTCAAACCACAGCAAAATTATGGAGAATACACTCCTAGAACATCCTTACTTCACTTAGTCATAGATTCGAATATGAGATCTTGAAATATTATGTTATTCCCACAAATAAACAAAACCATAAAAGCACTATAACAAAAACAAACAAAAGCTCTTATGGAGCATCTGGACACACAGAAGAAAACAAAAAGACGAAGAAATAGAAACGGAGCAATACACAAGATTGACGATATAATAAACTTAAAATGGGTAGCAACTCAAGCAAACATGAAATGGGCACAAGTAAAATTGCCCATTTTAAACCATTCCCCCAAAAAAGCTAAACTTTGATTACTAGCTAAAGCATTTATATGGTAGTCTAACAGGGATCATGTATAATTACGATAGCTTATTGACTTGGAATGAAACCTGGAGGAGCAAGACTAAAATGCAGACAAGTTTCCACGCAATTACTCATGCAACAAATCCAGCAACCAGCGTTCTGTAGAGATAATGCAAAATAATGAGTTTACCTGATTTTAATTTCTTGAACATTTTTGTCTGAGATTGAGTATAACATTGAATAATTCTTCAGGTCAAAGACCTTGTATATGCTGATGAAAGTGAAAAGAGTTCCATAAGTACAACAGCAACTTCACAAGATTAAAAAAAACATCTGACCTTCTGTTGGGCCTCTTTGAAAATAAAAACAGGACATTATAACAGAACAATCACCTATCCTGGGCGGAGTAGGTAAGCACTTTTCCATTGACATCATCGAACTCCACAAAACCAGGCCATTTTAATGACTCTGACTCAAATAGCGCAAAGCCAGCATCTGGTTTACCCCTCCGAATGTATCTAATTTCATCAATTATATAAGATTAGAACTTGATAAAAAGAACATATGAAAGAGAGCAACCAAGCCGTAATAGTTATCACATACTCAATCCTTGTGGTTCTGCATTTCAAGGAACTGAAATTATCTGATGCGTAGACTGAAACAGTGATGAGTGAGTCATTGTTCTTATTGTAAAACAAACTTCGTATAACTTCATCTGGACTGACGTTCAGAAAGCATATTCTCTCGTTAGTCTCTGCATTCGTAAAGATATGTATCAATTTACTTAAGGTCAAGGCACCTACACACAGGTGCCAGATAGAAGGAGCAGGGATAAGAATATGTAGGGAAACAATATCAAGAAAATATGCTTTACCTCGACTAAATGCTGCACATACACCAGATTGTGCAAGGGCAAAGACAATGTCACGTGCAGCAACTATCTCAATTATCTTTGATCTTTTCCTAAGAAAAGGAAGCACCATTGCACAATGTCCCTTAGGGTCATGGGTGTCATATTCCTCCTGAGACCACATGTAATTACAGAGAAGTGTCAGAAGAACCGATTAACAAGAAAATATATGTGATGAAAATAGCATCTTCAACTAACTGAATATTATTTTTTGATGAAATACTGAATCACATCCAAGAAACAAGCCATAAGTACGTGCTAAATCATTTCAAACAAATACACGTATCTAAAGATCTAGCAATGAAATTCTTCTTTCTAATAAAGCCAACCATCAAAACGCCACAATCTGTAAACATTGTTCTTGTTTCCTCGGCTTTGTAGCTCATGTATGCTTCTAGAAACACAAAAGACAGAACTCCCGCTAAATGATTAACCGTGCTGTCCATCCCAGCTTGCCAGAATTTCCACTAACCTTGGTCAATTCGTTAATGGAAATATTTAATTCCTAGAATCTAGAAGGTTAACAAAAAAATCAACTAATCATAAATTAGTCGGACATCAATTATCTGGACAATCAACTTTGTCCATGAAATCAGCAAAAAGCTTCTCATCATAGAACAAGAGGTTTGTGAATAAACGTGCAAAAGACATCTAATGCTCAGATATAAATCATCAGCTCTCTAATACCACCTGCTCTCATAATGCATCCTCTCAAGTCTCAACAAAGCAATAAGAAGTCTATTTCATACTATACTTTTCATTTTAAACTGGACGCTCACTTGTTCAATTAAAATGTTAAACTAATTTCAAGTCAAACAACTTAAGATGTACCATCAAATCGTAGACATTGGATATCACAACTATAATGGAACAAAATTTATTTTTGTGCATAATAACATCTAACAATTATCATTATTTTGCCTATAAAATGGGAAATTTAAGTTATAATTATAAGATGTCATGGTATTCGAGTTAGTATTCTGACTGTGCTAATGAAGGGGCATTTCCTACATATCTTCTTCCTTTCCGTATTTCACCAAACGAAGGTAAACAACTTTTACTCTACTTCTATATTCACTCTGACAACTCCAGTGACAAAACTGTTAACAAACATACACTTAACCAACCACATCTTTGCATCAATTCCCCAATACAATTACAAGTCCACTTGCCAAAATCCTCATTTCTTCACATTAAACCACTCAAATAGAAACAAACTGTTAATTTGCCTATTAGGACCCCAAACGAGTATCAGCCATTGAAGGATCAAGCACAAAGTAATCAAATTTTAGGTCATAAACTCAAGAACTGACTATTAGTATCACCAGTTCCTCTCAACCAACATATAACCAATAATTCTGTAATAAATCAAATCTCCGAGAATAACACAAAAGCTGAGCAATAAATTAAATTCAAAACCAAAAATTGAGCAAAAAGATCAATCAAACCTGTAAGCGAATGTTCCGAAAGCGCTCCTGAGCATCGCTCATACTAAAAGAACGGTCGCGTTTCGAAGAAATCTCCCTCCGCTGTAGCTTCTTGACGCTATTCACAAACCCATCTACCCCTCCACGTGGCCGCTTCTTCGCCACCACCCTCCTCCCACAACATGGACGAGGACTCGCACATATTCTCCGCCCATCCATTTCCCTAAATCAAACACACAAAAGATCCACAAAATCTAAAACCTAATACAAGTAATTGCACATTATGTACACAACATAATAGCTTCAATTCACTATCTTTGTAGGTCTAAAGAGGAAAACAGAGATTTGGGTTTTGATTAAAACCCTAAATCTCAATGACCCAGATGGAAAAATTAGGGCTTTTTACAAAGAGGCTCACTCCAGAACAGTTTTGAATATGAACTTTTGCATAAGGAGTATGTCTTTTGGTATAAAAACTTACACTCAACAAAGTTAAATCTTCACTGGGATTACAAGAATGAGTGGAAAAAGTGTTCGGATTTGGGAAAGAATGGGTGAGGGGCCGGACATGAAAGAGTGAGAAAGCAATGTGTTGGATTTTAAAGCAGCTTTGACGTCCGTCTTACATTTCAAAATAACATCTTGACGGTACATTCATTTTCTATTAATCATGAGTACCAGTCCCATATTACTTTCTTAAATAGTGTACATGTACATTGACTAATTTGCCAAAATATCTGGTTACATTCAACCAACAGCACAAGTATCGAATACCGGAATAACCAAAATGTTAAGCAATAAAGAATCTATCTAATTACTTTTACTGAATTCAAAATTTAGTATGAGCAAACATAACAAAAAGGAATTAATTTTAATTCGAATTACTGCAATTAGTAAAATGATTACTCACATTTCGAGTGGATCTGTGGCATAAGAGAGTTCTCCGAGGTATGGTGACATGTGTTGTGCCGTCATTCCGATTGAACTTATTTCGATGTTGTTTTGAATCAACTGATATATCATCAATACTAAATTCAAACCTTGCTACGAAAGTGAAATACAAAAATAAAATTAATTTGAATTTAAATAGTTACTGTTGGAATGGATCTGCGGCAAAGAAGATCTCTTGAGGTACGACCATCTGTGTTGTATCGTCATTTTGGACTTACAGCGAATTTTTGCGCTATCTTGAATCAACTATTAAATTAACGCTGAATTCAAAATTGATAGAAAAAACATAATAGAAAAGGAATTAATTGAAATCAAATTACTTTAACTAGAAATAAACTTACTATTAAAGTGTGTTTGCTGCAAAGAGGAGTCCCCGGATTTCCAATTGATTCGGTGTTAGCTTGAATCAACTTATTGATCATCAACATAGAGGCACAATTCACTATCTAGATGAGTTGCGAGATAAGCCAACCAACACGCATCAGTTTGACATTCTTTAGATATTCTTTTGTTGAAAATCACGAAGACGATTTCCAAATCAAATTAAACAAGAGGGGAGTTGTCGTCGGTATTGAAAACATCATTAATTTCTCGATTAAACGAGTATTTGGCTAAGCTTATAAGTTTATTAAAGCAACTACACATTTTGATTTATCAACGCACTGAATGAATACTCAAAGTGCTTATAAGCCAAAATTAGCGAAAAGTTATAAGTTGGTCACCCTAATTTATGGTTTTTGGCTTATAAGTACTTTGTTTTGACCAAGATTTTTAGTATTTTATTCTTTAAGAAAAAAATTAATTCTCAAGATACTTTCCAAAAATAAAATTCCTAACTTCCTCTTCACTCCATATCTATTATTCCTTCTTACAAATGAACTTTTAATTTAATATTTTTTGTAAATAAATTGAGGGTAGTTTAGTTATTTAACAAATAAGTAACTTATCAGCACTTTTTTGCCAAACATATCAGTTGCTTATTACTCATTTCAACACTTTTCCCAAAGACATAAATGCTTTATTATAAAATTAATTTCAATACTAATTTTAAATTTTAAAATTTATCAGCTATTTCCAACAGTGCTATCTTAAATAGTGTGTGGAACAATCCATATGCACATTGACTAATTTGTCAAAATGTCTTGTTACACTCAATCGGCAACACAAATATCAGATAAATCTCCCCACGGGAATAACCAAAATGTTCAGTAAATCAACCTATGCTATTGCAAGTTCTATTTTTTTTATACTATGCCATTGCTAAGAGACATGGGTTAGAGAGAAAGGCTCCACCTTCTCTCTAAAGGTTCCCTCTTTAAACTCCTTAGCTCTTCCCTTCCTCACTTTCTTTCCCTCATCTTCTCCAGATGAATACTAACGAACTAAACGACTTGAACCAAAAAGACTTGACCCTCAATGCCCTGACTGGAGAAATGTCCAGCCAAGCTTTAACAAATGAGCAAGTAGTCCTAGGGGTAACGCCAGACCCTTCCCTCACTACACCCCCACCAATGGACATGGAAATATGTAGAGGGAAACACACGGATGAACCAGCAACTGGAACAAATGACATATCAAACCCTACAAAGAGGATGACCTTCCTGGACACCTTGATATCGGGTAACATCACAAATAATGAACCAAAGGGCAGCCAAGTCACAGTACAACAAAACATGGACTCCTATGAACAAGAAGATGAAACTAATAACTACCCTAACCTAGAGTTCTTCATTCCCATCACCTCATCGGATAAGGAGCGCATATACAAAAACTAGACCAACGCTCTTATTATCAAAATGTTTGGCAGGAGAGTTGGTTACCAATTTCTCCAAAAAAGCTTCACGCGATATGGAAACCAACTGAAACCCTATCTCTGGTGAACCTAGGATGCGACTACTACCTAATAAAATTTTCTAAAGAGGAGAATTATAACAAGGCCCTCCATGAAGGACCATGGTTCATAGGGAATCAATTTCTCACAGTAAGAAAATGGGAGCCCAGATTCGTAGCTTTCAAAGCTGCGTTAACATACTCAGCCATATGGGCAAGACTCTCGGAACTACCCACTGAATTCTATGACTATGATATACTCCAAAAAATTGGAGAAAAGCTAGGACAACTAATACGCATTGATGCATGCACCAAATCCGCGCTAAGAGGTAAGTATGCTCAACTATGCGTAATGGTACCCATAGAAAAACCTCTCAAAACCTATATTGTGATCGGCAAACATATACAACAGATTACCTACGAGGGTTTCAATCTCCTATGCACAAATTGCGGCAGGCTTGGACATAACTTGAGTAGTTGCCCTTACCAAAATCCAAAGATGGTGGAACAACAGGAAACAAATTCATCCAAGACACTGCTTAAGCCACACACGGTGGAGACTATCACACAGAAGATTGACCAATGGACAATTGTTACTCACCAAAAGAAAAACAAAAAGTATCAAAACAATTCACATAACCTAAACCCTAGAAAAGACCTAGAGTACCCTAAAGGATTGACTACCAAAAAGCCTAGCCAAAGTACACAACAATGGCAAAAAACCGATGTTGGAAATGCCCAGAAGCTATCACCAAACATTGAGGAAAGCCAAAATCCGCTGGACAATACTCAGCCTTTAGGTAAGTCTTCTGTTATCTCACCCCGTCCCTCTATAGACCAAAGCCAACAAAAGGATAATACTTTTCTGAAAGACCCAAGACATCAACATCACAAAGACAATCCCTTCTCTTGCCTTTACACAAAGGACCTTGCTATAACCAACCTAGAAACCATTAACTCCCCCCTTAACTCATATACACCCTTGGGCAATAACTCTTACCAAACAAAAGCACATGACAACCCCTTAGTTGTAGCAATAGTACCAGCGAAGGACAACAACAAAAAGCAATCTATGGATATAGACTCTAATATACCTACAAATAGCCAATCCCCCTCATTAATGCAAAACCTTAGTAGCCCACAAATAAACACCTCCAACTCGCCTCTGCAAGCCCTCAGCCCCCTACAGCAAAAACACAGTACAAATCAACCTCATTCTTTGTCAACCTCAAGTCATAACCCCATTAATGAACAAGACATCTTGACTCCTAGGATGGACAAAACTTTTGCAGCACATAATGGCCCTACAACCTTAGTAACGGATACAAATAGTTACTTACCCACTAGTAATGATTCCAACACTCCAAAAGACTCAATCCAAAGTAAAAACAAAACACAAGATGCCAAGGCTACCATACAACCACAACAGGAGGTACCCAAGGCCACGAAAAACCAACCCCAAACCCCTCTGATATTCACTACAAGGCCCATGCAACCAGACCATACTCCCCAATCTTGGTTGGAATGGGGTCTCATGGGCCATGTTTTGAACAAAGCCTATAACTAGAGGAGAGGGATCTTATAGTCCAAATAGGGGATCCATCCTACCTAGCACAGATTGTAA